GTAGTAGTAGGTAGGTAGGTAGGTAGGTAGGTAGTGTGTGTGTGTGTGTGTGTGTGTGTGTGTGTGTGTGTGTGTGTGTGTGTGTGTGTGTGTGTGTGTGTGTGTGTGTGTGTGTGTGTGTGTATTTCAGCTGACAGCAACTTTTTTCCAAAGACTATAACTCTGCATGGTTGGTCACTGGATTTAAAATATCAAAATAAGTGATACCAAAAACCATTCAAGTCCATCTTCAAAATGTTCACTAATGATTACAAACATAATAAACTCTTTTAACAACAACAGAACACAAAATAAAAAATGACAGAATACAATTACTAATATTTATGGCAAATCATCAAATTATTCTAACTCACTCTGATTTCAGTTGTTTTAACACAGGAAATTTTAGCATGGAAGCAAGTTAAAATAAAATTGTATGTACACTGATTTGACTATTTTAGCGTCCATATGCCTACCTTCCCCCAATACAATTTTTTGTTGTTGTTTCTGATACTTCCCTTCTCCAACTCTATTTTTTTTAAAATAGCCTTGTTAATAAAATATAGTACATGATCTTTTGGCAAGATACTGAGGTTTGAAAGACAGCTAATGCATACAGGCAACAATTACTTTCCATAACATTTTACTGAAAAAAAAGAGAAGTTTTATGCACACTTCAGAGGGTCTTTTTAAGAAAGTGGAGTCACTCTAACTTTATTAAAAAAAGCAGAAATGAGAGAATAAGTGAGCAAATGATCAAGATATCTTAGGATTTTTCAAAGTATTCCTTTTTTACTGCAAAAACAAAAAGTATATGTTTGCACAATCTGCTCTTCAGGTAGCTAGTAGTGCCACCTATTCTTAAGTTGCCCAACTCTTTCCATTATAAAACTGTTTTCAGTTGCTTATAACTTTGCCAAAACTTGAACCATTTGGGCTGAAGTTTCCCAGGCCAGGTTTCTGCCTCAGACTGATGAATTTTTTTTGTTTTTGTTTTGTTTTAAGTTTCAGAAAAAATGGTCCAGCCATTTCCACAAATGAAAATAGGGAAAATACATTGTTTGGCCCAATGCTGAATAAATTATTACAACTGTTTTGTATAAAACTCTAGCACCTCCATGGTTGGGGGCAACAGCTTGAAATTTGGCAAGGAGATTACCGGGGGAAGATGAACTGTGAGGGAGAAGGGATAACTGGAACTCAGATCTAGAAGTTAGACCTGGATGGGCATGGAGACTGGGAAAGGGAAAAGTTGCCCACAGTTGGAAACTGGGATTAGCTAGATGAGAACACTGGGATGAGGAGCTGTGGAGGTGGAGAAAACAGACTGGGATAGTGACTGGATGAGGGGGATGGGGCAGAAAGTGTCAGGCTTAGGGAGAACAGGAGCAGAAGGACTCACAGGACTCCTGCATCATTCAATGTACAGGATGTACTGTGTTCTCAGGATGAATCAGAGTTATATAGTGAAGGAGGCTGTAATACCCCTACCTCATTTGTTGCAGAAGTTGGAAGGTGTGCAGTGAATAAGGCAAGGAATTGCAGGAAGAGAAAGGATGGTCTCATGATTAAGGCATGAATACTACCCTAGAGAACTGGATTCTATCCCTGCCTCTGCCGCAGAATTCTTATGTGATGCTGGGCAAGTCACATCCAAACTTTTCACAGATGTTCACTAACTGTGTGTTCTTGGATGCCCAAATTGAGACCCTAGGGATTGATATACAGAAATGCTGAGCACTTATAGTTGCACATGAAGTTAATGGGAGATGTGCTCTGAATATATAAAGGGCTATATAAAACTAAGTTGTCTGAAAAATCAGATCTTAGGTGTCAACTTGGGCACCCAAAGTGGATACTTTTGATTTTAATCTCTAGGTATCTCAGTTCCCCATCTGTAAAATTGGGATTATATCATCCCCTCACCTCACAGGTGTACTGCGAAGGTAAATTAGTTAATGCTTATGAAGCACTCAGATACTATACTAATAAATGCCTTAAAAAGTCCATGAAAATATCAGTAATTGTGTATTCACAGCAGGATTTGAATAATTTGCAGTAAATAAAGCCTGAGGCCACACACTGAATGAGGATACAACAAAATATTGAAAAAACAGCTCCGTCAGTGAACACTATCAATTCTGTGCACTGAATGATGACAGGATTCTATGGAGGGAAAAAGTATGTGATGATGTAATTATAGACTGTACCATAATGCATAAGCGCAAGAGGGCAGAATTAAGGTTGCACAGGCTACTTTAATTTTTAAATTTCCTAAATTTTGGGTACTTGACTTTGAAAACTTAATGATTTTTAGCAGTTTTTGTGAGAAATATAATTTAAAGGATAGTTTTATGGCCTCTTAATGGAGGATCAAATTATTTACAATATTTCAAATATGAGACAAATCAAATAAATATTTTCAGCCTTTATTCTGTATTTTCTTGCATTTGCAGCTTTAACCCAAGACTCTTTACTTTAACTTCTACTGTATTAGGGAAGAAAAAAGACTGTAAAATCATAATGTACTGTTTCCCCTTAATACAAGATTTAAAATACATTATTCTATCTTCCTCTATAAAGCCCACTGACACATAAAAACAACAACAAAAAGAAGATAAGTTTCCTTATGCATGCTACTTTGAAATGGGAGCAAGCAGTCAGTTGTTTGAATGAGACTGCATAAAGAAACATACCTTCTTTTTGTTGTTGTTGAAGGACTAGTAAGCTGAATTCAATGTTTCATTTTTTTGTGATAATATTGCATTCTAAATTGGTTCAAAGATTTTGCCACTCAGCTTAAGGGAAAATGCCACTAAGGAAACCAGAACACCTACATTTTTCTTCATGTTGTCATGTCCTTATAGCTAATTGCTCGGCGGGGAGGAGGGGGAGGGCAAGAGAAGCATGTAAAACAACACACTTTTTACTACTAAATATTTTGAACAAGAAAAAGAATGTGGGAAGAAAGCCGTGCCCTTTATGGTTTTTGCAGGTGGTGACGGAAGACAAAGTTTGGGTTTTTCAGGCACCTAGTCTGCAAATATTTATGTATATGCTAAAACTAAGCGGTGTGAATAGTTCCACTGAAGTCTATGCACATTCGAAGTTAAGCATGTACATAAAAAAGAATAAAGGATTTGGGCTGATTACCAAATATGGGCTTGATTTTCAGAAGTGTTGACTAATTACTATGGCACTCTGTACCTCAAAGCAGCACCCTGGAACCCCCATATTTATGCCATGTAAAGTATCAAATGAAAGGTCATGATTTGCTGAAACCCATTTTTCTGCCAAAATATGTATATCATTAGCTGGAGTATTGTGTCCAGTATTGTGGCCT